ATAATGGAGTCACATATAAAATATTGCAACATTTCCTAAATCATTACGTAAATTACGTCCTTATTTACCTATTACTCTATATGCACGATGATGGTCAGCGTTGAACGCATAGCTGTCTGTCCTGACTATGCTTCTTTGTGCACAGTGCGTATCTCGGAGCCGATGGATGCCCCGGCCACAGGTGCTGGTACAGATGAGGGGGAGAGAGAGAGCCAGACCGCGGGTGATCCCGTCATGAGTATGATAGAGACAACATATGAGCCCGTCTTGGTTTCATGTCACCACGACGCTCTCATTCGCTTCTGGAGCATGAAGGTAGAGTAGAAGTGATGATTTAATTTCTCGGTTTTCAATTTTTGGCAGAAATTGATTAAAGTTAAGAGAAATAAATCACTTTTAAGTCCAGGCTTTATTTCCAGTTTCAAAGACTTAATCCACCCAATACAAACTTTTGAGGTCCTGGATTTTAATTTGGTACATTATAATGTTAGTAACACATATGACATGTAATTCAATTCTGCTGTGTGACTGTTCTCAGGGAGAAATGCTGCGAGAGGTGTCTGCTCTGACCCGCCGGCAGGGCTCTCCTGTTACTGCCGTCTGTGCTGATGATGACTGTAACCTGCTCATCACTGCAGATCACAGTAAGATGCCTGGTCCTTTTGTATCCCCTCCTTTTGATTTTCCCAGTTTTAGTGGTTTGTAGTGTAATCTCTGAGTTGGTTTACAGTTTCACCTCTTAACTTACTAGAGTACATCATGACATCGGAACGACCACATAGAATAAAAAGTGCAACATGTAGTAGGCAATTCCTTCCAACTAGAGATGACTGCATGACGCCATCCACTGCAGTCTGCTCAATAACTTGCAAAATAGAATGACCTTTCCATGTTTTGATAATCTGTGTTTCAGACCTTAATGAGGCCTTGCCAACATGTGCTATCATGACAGCAACATTTTCAGCACCACAGACAGGACCATTTCTGTGCTGCCCCTTAAATCCTGGTCATCAACAGGAGACTAGTTAGTCTAACTAGTATTTGTGTTTCAGAGGGTTACATCACCATGTGGGACGTTGCAATATTCCTTGAGGATCCCACCTCAGAGAACAAGGTGAGTTGTTTCAAGTATTTAACCATAAACTGCTGCGTATATACTGACCTACGCAGTCAGAATTGATATAAAAACTACATTGTGCATACATTGCACGAGGAAAACCAAGTACAGCAACAGCAAATTTAACAGTATGAAGTCAGCAATTCAGCAATTACATGTCTGATACTACAGCGGAACTTTTTCTGAAATCATTACCTCCATGAAAAATAAGTCCAGATAGGAACAACATATTTTCATAATTTTTGGTGTGTAGGTAGCTGAGAGAGAGATGTACATGACTAAATGCAAATTATGCAAATGAGGACTTTATTTGCATAACTAATGAGGAAATTCTATAATTACAGTGTTTTACATTATACTACTTTCATACATGTAATGTATGTAATCTATGGCAGGGAGAACATCAACAGATACTAATTATGCAAATGATGACCTAATTTGCATAATTTATGCAAAAATTCAATGATTTCTTAATGGTGAATGATGGGAATGTCATACTTGGGACATCTGTAACTTAATCAAAAGTTAACATACATCGTGATGCATATATCATGTTAATGCAGAGGTAATTTGCATAATTAAAGAAGAAATTTACATTTACATATTAAGCCCATATTTCATGGAGGTATGTAGTCTCGGAATTCTTGTTGTTTTGTATTTCAGGACAACATACGTCAGCTGATCTGTTGGCGCGGCCACCTCAACCGTATCGTCAGTCTGTTCTACACAGGACCGGGCTTCATTGTGTCAGGCTCCACAGATGGGTCTGTCAGGTGAGAGACCACCCGCCTGAACTTTTGTTTTAATTATGTGGGACAAACACATGGTATCAAAAATCTGGTATAGATAGCAAGAGCCAATAGGCATGCAGCATTCATGGGCATGGCCTGATTGGTCAATTTTCAGGTGGTGGCTCTTCTTGCTGATTGAGGTAATTAGATAAACCACACTAACTTAACATTAGGCTAAATTTACTGTTTTGTATTGACTTTAAATCTGTGTTGTAGAAAAACTGCCCCAGTATTCTCTGCATAATGTGACATCCTATGCCTAAAAAGTAGTTCAAGGATACGTGTAACATGTATTAATAACGATGTGAAAATCTTTGTTTGTTGATTGTTTAAACAGAGTTTGGTACAAGGAAAAGGGGCACTTCATCGGATTTTTTGGGCAGCACCGTATTTGGAAGTACCCTACAGAACCTCCCAGCTCTGCTGTGTTTCCGTACGACATCACAGAACGCCCCTTAGAGGCTACCAGAAGACTAACATCCAGGGAGAAAGCACAGCAAAAACAAAAGTTTGAGTACCCGCTCATCAAGGACATGTGCAGGTCAGTGGTTGTAATGATGTGCATAAGATCAGACTGGAAGACTGATTTAAGAACTATGATCATGTCAGACTCCGATCTTACCATACATTTTAAAACTTCTAGGTTCATTCTTGTCTTACCTGCTTGTAAAAGAATCAGCCTAGCAATTGTTTCCAGCTTTACTTTTTAAAGCACTTTGGTAGATAAGGCTGCACCAGTTTGATTTCTTCAGTTTTCTGATGTTTGTGGCTCTATTTGGGTCACAGGATGCCTGTTTTACTCTAAGACTTAATTTCTACTTTTATTTTTTTTCATTTCACCCAAACGCCTCATGAAACAAAGTTGGTAAAAGGCTAAATACATACATAACATACATTATTACATACAGACATACAATTATGTAAACTACGCAAGTGCCAGGTTGTAAGACTATCTTACTTGTGCGCTTTACAAACATTAATCTGTTACATTTATGTTTATTCTTTATCAATACAACAACCATGATCTTGATTGTGTCTGCCAGATGGGCCCCTTTCAGGCGATCAGCGTATGAGCGGCAGCAGAAAGTGGAGCTGAAGCCTCTTGACATCCAGTCCAAGTTCTTTGCCACACTCATAAAGCCGAGGGTAAGGCAATGCTGAGATGGCTGGAGATCTCAAGTTCTCTCAACTTTTCAATTTCTCAGATGAATCCAAAATATTATTCTGATTTGTCTACATATTGTTTGTTTTTATACTTAATCTTTAAATGATATCCTTGTATTGTGTAGGCTTACACAGACCATCTGGACCGATCAAAGACAGGAGATGCTAAGGAGGGGGCTGTTTACCGAGCCTTGCCCGTCTACAGGGTCAGTTCAAATTCAAATTTCATTGTGACTTATGCTTTAAAGATTACATCTATGATATGACTTTTGTTGTTTCAAGACACTGTCGTACTGATCAAGTTATATGGCATTATTAATACCACTGACTGCATAGTCATGTAGAATATAGCTCTATCTATTATAAACTCAATACTTTTGCCATGATCACACATGTACCTTGGAATTAAACTTTAAAGGCACTCTCACAGGATTATGAAAAGTAAGGATGTCTTTTTTCGATGCACATTATGTTGGCATTTAGAGACTGTATGTCATCTTGCACACCCCAGGTGGAGGAACCAGACCGCATGAGGACACCCAATGCCCTCAAGAACCCATTTATGCCAGATGAGGATGACAACACTTTTCTGTTTGGAAATCTGCCCAAGAAAGGTGGACAAAATGTTGGTGGCAAGAAGGTACAGTATTTTTATTAGTGCACAATATATTGTACATTTGTAGATGACCTACTAACACTACTGATATAAAAAGCTTGGTGCCACAACTAAGGCCATGTTATGCAGGCCTCGAAATTAACTTTTCTTCCTATTGTCCCAGCACTGTCCCAAAAATAAATTTCAATTGTCCCGAAGTGAGGATGAACTGTTTTTGGGAAGTATTGTATGACTTGAAGTCAACTTTATTTTGCTTATGTTCACTCCCAGGCGCACTATAATTGCAGAGTAGACAGGAAATTTGGGGGGACTTTTCCGGATCCAAAAGCCGGGATGTGTGCCTGATAAACAAAAGAATGACTGACATTCTGATGTTGATTACTTTTCTATTGTCCCAAAAATGTCCCAAAGTGTCTTTTTAGTTGTCTCAGCCTAAATTTTAAGGACTTTGGCCATTGGACCACATTTAATTTTGATTTTTGTTATGATTTCTTTACATGACTACTGCCTACTCATGTCTTTCTCTCCATGTCTAGGGAAAACAAAAGAAGGCAGCACGGAATCCTGGGAGCTCAGGAAATACAGGCCCGTCACCTCTGCCACCCAAAAGATAGTGACAGCATGATCACTGATGTGACATTGTATATTTCTATTATCAGAACACTGGTGCTCTTTTTAAACTATGTACAGAATACTGTTTCTAGATATATGATCAACCGTTGTGTTTTTATAGTATATTTTTATAGTACATTTTGCAGTTGTACAGAAAGAGATATAACGTTATCTTTGCTAATAATTGCATTTGCTGCTAGGCTAAATGAGGCGAGAGTTATTTTACCGATGAAAGTGTAGTTACTGCTTGTGTGCTGAAAATCTGTTCCATGCTTAAGAACTTGAAAAAAAGGTGGATAAAATCCAGCGGTATTGTTTTTGTATATTACTAAAAAATCCCTTCCCCATTGTTTTCCTTGAAATAAAGAGCTCAGTACCCAACCCCTCAAGTATCTGGTGCAGTTGATGTGTATTGAAAACCAGACGATGTACTTGTGAATGTAAGTATCATAAATAATTCTCCGAGTGGACACTTGTTAATCGTTTTTAGAACTTCGGACAAGTGACGTGCGGAACAGGACCCATACACGCCATTGTCTACTGTCAACAACTTGTAGCATGCAGATAAAACCTACAGTAGTATACGTAGATATATAGGAACGCTCTAGATACTAGTAGTAGTCACTGACTTCCTAGTCGGACAGTCGTGTGTCAGCATCCCCGAGGAACATCAAAAAACTACAAATAAATACACATGATGACGAGAGACAAAATGTCACATGGAGTGCAACAATGTATTGATATGTGATAGGCTTGGGCCCATAGTCAAGAAACGTTAGTAGTATATTGTTTGACCAAAATACATTTTCCGGCTATAGTCAACAACAATGACAGTATTTTACAAAGTTAACGCGTTTTGCGCCGAATACAAAACCCTTCTGTTATTGAACATTGAAAATTCATTTTAGACTGGAAGTTTTGTGGCATGTAGTCTAGTCATGCCATGTTACACAAGGTTATATGGTAGTGCGATTACCAAAAACAAATCTGTTTCTGAACAGCATCTGGCATCAAAAGACATGTCCTTTGCTTAAAGCGCGCGCCAACATAGCGTCAATCAGAGCTCAGCGAGATCTTGGGCCAATCACCGGCCGCGCACAAGGCATGCACGCTCTGAGAGACAGCAGCTACCCCGTGCTCCTAGACTCTAGAAAAGCCGGCCGGAATACCCAAAAGTCGACCCGCCCCCGTTGAGTATGGTAGCAGGGCTAGGATGATTATTGTCCCCTTCACAATAGAGAACCTTCTTAACGGGGACGAAATATTGTGTTGATTAATTGTGATTGCGAGCACCGGTCCAAACGCAACATATACTAGTATTACTGTTATACACCTAACGCATGCAGATGGTACATTTTACGACGGTAATATACGATTGTCACATCAGTCCTCTGGTCCAAATACTTGAGGTGCCTCCTTCAGAGCCATGCGGACCAGTTCTTCCCAGTACCAGCGCTTGATGTAGCTCCCGCGTTCCTTCTCTTCTTGTACAGCCTTGGTGAGGGTCTTCTGGATGTCTTGCAGCTCTACCAGACTGAGTCCTTGTGTGTCCGGTAACTCGTAAGATGTGCGATTGGGCACGGCAGCAGTAATGTTCTTAAGAACTGGGTACAGGAGAACTTTCGGGGCGGTGTTGGCGAGTTTGGCTCGAAGGGATTCAGCATGAGCGAGAAGCGTTTCCGCATAGTCTCTCTCAAAGTTGAGCTCTGCCCACAACTTCCCGACTGACGACATCACCTCTTCATACTGTGGGTCTTCTGCGTCCTTGTGTTTGGGCGATGGGGTAGTTGTTGTAAGAGACGATCCTCCTCCTTGAGTAGACGTTGTGGTTTGACTGCATGTATCCGTGCCAATGTTGTCGGGTGTTTCCGTCTCTTTTCCATGGACGACTGAAGGAGTGCGGCGCTCTGAGACATCGCCTTCTCCGGCAGCAGGACGTTTGTCTGGGTTTGAGGCTGGGAGGCCGAACGCCGAGCTTGTCGAAGACTCTGTGCTGACGTCTGCGGCGTCGCCGGCAGCGGAGGGCGGTGAGCTGTCCTTGCCGCTGTCGGCCAATGGTGCGCCCGGCTCTGTTTCCTGGGAAACATTGATCTTCCCATTCTCCGTTTCTGGTGTTTCTGGCAGCTCCGTCTTGACTGTCCCTTCGGAAGTCTTGCCTGAGTGTAAATAGGATAAACGCAAATGTTATAAAGTGCACGTGATTTTTGCAGACGTCTATTCTTTAACGCATTGTCTAAAGCGGAGCTATACATGTACATGTATACCATCACCTCTTTCATCTAGAAACATACTGCTGACAACATACGTACCTACATTTGTTACTTAAACGTAAACTTAACAGACCAATCCTATCAACAAAGAAAATACGACACGGTCGACTCCTCTTACCCACCTTGACCCTTTTGTATCTCCCTCTCGATCTCCCTCTCCTGATTGTCGGCAGCACCGGACACGTGAAGGAGCGTGACGTCCGTGTGACGAGAGGAACGGTGCGCGTCGTTTGGCGGGACGTCCATGTCTTCGTCGGCACCAAACTTGTCCGCTTTGTCTGAAGTTGAGACGACTTCGTCCGAAGTTGATGCTGTGTCTGACTCTGTGTCTAAAGAGTCTTGTTTGACGTCTGCGATGTCGCCGGTGACGGATGGTGGACTGCTGTCCGCAGCGCTGTTGTCTGGGTGTGCGACCGGCTCTTTTTCCAGGGAAACTGCCACCGCCTGCAGCTCCGACAGAGTCTCTGGCTCCCCTTGCGCTGGTACCTCAACGGTCTCCTCGGGAGCCTTAGTCACTGAGACTGAATAGAAGAATATAATGCTGTATGTAAACTAGTGTCTGTAAACTAGTGTCATTTTAAACAGGCTCTCTATGTTTGAATGTTCCCACTGGTTGAAATACTTAGTAGCTTTTCTTTCTGGAGTGGGTTGATAAATACTTGCAAAAGGCGGAAAAGGAAACGAGTAAGGCAAGTCAGATGGAAGTGAAAATAAACTTTAGACACCATGAAGATATGCAGAAAGAAAACCCGACTTCTCTTACCTTGACCCTTTGGTAGCTCACTCTCCATCTCCCTCTCCTGATTGTCGGCAGCACAGGACACGTGAAGGAGCGTGACGTCCGTGTGACGAGAGGAACGGTGCGCGTCGTTTGGCGGGACGTCCATGTCTTCATTGACACCAAACTCGTCCGCTGTGACGTCTGAAGTTGAGAGTGTGTCCGACGTTGAGGCTGTGTCTGAAGTTGTTGAGACCCTGTCTAAAGTTGAGACCGTGTCTGAAGAGTCTTGTTTGACGTCTGCGATGTCGCCGGTGACGGATGGTGGACTGCTGTCCGCAGCGCTGATGTCTGGATGTGTGTCCGGTTCTTTTTCCAGAGAAACTGCCACCATCTTGACCTGGTGATTCTGTGCTGGTCCGTCTCTCGCTGATACCTCAACGGTATTCTCGGGAGGCTTAGTCACTGAGACTGAATAGAAGTTTACAATGCTGTGTGTAAACTAGTGTCACTTTAAAAGACTTTTCCACAAGACAATATAGGCTCATGTGCTTTCAATTTCTTTTCTTAAAAAATGTCCATAAGATCTAGAAGTCATTTTCATGTATCATATATCATTCCCTTATGGTTTATAGAGTAAAGCTTTCTCTAAATTTCTATCCTATCAAAAAAGTATTTTATACGGCCATAAGCTCTAACATACAAATTCACAAATGCATCCTATATAGAGACAGAAACAGACGTTTCTTACCTTGGTTCTGTGTAGGCTGACTTTTCCCCTCCGTGCCTTCGAGAGTAACGGACGCCTGTAAGAACACTTCCTCTTTCCTCCGCCCGCCTTTGTGGGTCGGTCCATGATGTACCACCACTTCTGCGGTAAACCGTCCACTGACTCTATTGCGGCTGCAACATCTATGGAGAGCTCACCGACTGTGGTGTCCTTACAGCGCTTCGCCTTACGGAGTTTCAGAACCAGTTGGTCTGTTGGCGACCCGACAAACTCTGTAGAATGCTCCCAGATCAGTGCATCCGACTTTTTCTTAGCGGTCTGCACCTTGTTCTTGCCATGTCGTATTGTGACTAGGTACTTGCCCTGACTCTGGCGCCCAACTTTGCCCTCGTGGACAGTTACGTTGAGTTTTATCCCGCCGCTCTGGCTCTTACTGCCAGGTCTGAGCAATGACAGCACGTGTACCACTGAAAGGAACGCTGACGCCGTCCTGTCGAGAAAACCCATCTTTTCATGGGAAATTCACCTTGACAAAACGCGGAGCTCGAGAGATACGTGTATATCCTCGGTGAACAGTGGCGTTGTGTTTGGTTGCTGTGCTACAAAGTGAATGCTGTTCTGGAACATCCCTGACAATCTCCGTAGAACATGAAATTGATACCCTTGACCTTAAGTGATCCCGAAAGACGTCGGGTCGACGTCGCTTGTGTAAAATAAAGGCGTCTCAAATTGTACTGTCATGGTGACATGAAAGATTGTCTTTGCTGTCTTTTATGACAATACGTATATTCAGATGTACTTTTGACTTCGAATTCGTAGTACTAGTGTTTTTCTTTGCGTTATGTCAACATTCAGTATTCTGCATCTGAACGTTAACTTGTCACCATCGGAAAAAACACCTGGATTAGTCAATAATTGTTGTCCACACTTTTTGTTTGTTGTTTGATCAACAGCATTGTGCAAAATGTAACTGCTGATTACGCTGTCCAGGACAAAGCTATAATTCATAGCCTTACACCACCCGTCCCCGCGTGACACTAACAGGTGGTCAATTAACTCAATTTTGTAAGGGGACCAATCAGAGGAGAGAGAAACAGGCACGTATTCATGATCACAGCGCTATACCTGTCCCCGCGCGCCAAAGACAGGTGGCCAAATCAGAGGAATAGAAGAAACAGGCTGGTATGCTAATGAAGGGAAGGTATAAAAAGGGAGGGATAAGACAACACAGATACACAGTTTACCTTCGGGGAGACTGGGAGAGGAGGCGGAGAAATACGCGAAAGGTGGAAGGGACAGGGGAAAGGGTATCATGAGGGCAAGAGTCGTGGGCCTAGAGTAAGGTGTGACAATAACCTATAATAGGGGGATAAACTTTTCTTTCCGTACCCACCCACCCCGGACCAACCACGGCGACAGGGGATTGGGACCTTTTTCCGTACTCCTTATCTCTCCATTCACCTGTCTGGGGTGTGGAGGATGGCGGTACGTGTGAATATTCCAAGTTGACAAAAGCGAGCAAGGTTCGCAAAAAGGAGGTTCGATATTGTTCACACGGAAACAAAAAGCACTTTTTGAACAGCACCTGATAACAAAGTGCAGGTTTCTTTACAAGTTCAGACAAAGTTACATCTAGGCCAGTTGAAGGTTCATAGCGGAATACTTTGACTTTGTTTGAAGGGAGCCTCGTGAAGGTGCAGTTATACAATGCTTCAAGAGATGGCGCTTTTCAGCTATACAGATTTTGCGCCTGAGGTTAGCTGGGTGAAAGGTGAAAGGGCGAATCAACATGGACACCCTACCGGACAGTTTGTCTGCCAAGTTCAAAGGGTTTGTAGCAAGGACTTCTCAAATACCATTTGTCGCAATATCTTTGAGTGCACAACGCATCCCCAGCAGTCTGTTCTCATTAAATCAGCCATCTTTTCTTGTGAATAGCCGTTTAGGGTTTCTCTACACGAGAGGTGCACGTGCACGTGCAGTGCGAGTCTGCTTCCAAGTTTATATAACTTGAAATTCTAGTTCTATAAATTATAGCAAAATAGCATTTCCCAAGGGGCTTAAAATGAAGGGGTATTTATTTGTGTGTGTGTGTGTGTGCTTCCTGTCAATCTGCAGTTACGACCACCCTCCCTCCCTTCCTGCCACCCTGCTGCATTCAAGTACCTACAGACACACAAGCAAACACGCGCACACACACACGCGCGCGCACACACACACGGTGTAAAAACAGGTTATTGAAAGCCTTCCAGTTATCTATACACTGGGAATATCTTCATCATGCTGTGCAGGTTTTGGGATTCCAGAGCAAGCAGAATCACATAGCGAACACACACACACACACACACACACACACACACACACACACACACACACACACACACACACACACACACACACACACACACACACACACACACACACACACACACACACACACACACACACACACACACACACACACACACACACACACACACACACACACACACACACACACAAACACACTGTTATTCATAATAAGCACAGAACTATTGAATTTAGTTATTACAGCCATGACTGCTGATTCTGCTGACCATTGATTCTGTTTTTTGTGAAGATCCTTTGCCTACAAGACCGTGAAGGACCGCATTCCGTCCATTCTAGTGAAGGTCATTGATGTGTTGGCACGGAACTATGGCAAGTTCAAGGAAGACTATGGAGAGGTAAGTACATTTATGTGATACTAGTAGAAGACTACTGTGTCGGGTAATGTTCAGGCATATATATAGTCTGGACCTGTACCTAAACCTCCTGCTACATTTAGACACACAGTACTGTCCAATGATGTAATACAGAAATACACTTGTAAAATGTCAGCAACACTAATTTCTTCCCTGTATTGTAAGAAGTAGTAGATAGTGGAGTCTATGGGAAGCTCATAGATCACCCATAGAGATCAGCGGGGTCTGTTCGGGATAAACCTTAGTCAACTGCTTGCTCCCGAAGTGTTGGTGGGACAGGAACTGTTCTGTTGCAACAAAACAGAAATAGTTTTAAGATTATATTCATGCTTACAAGTACAAACATCAGTTCTTATAAACAATTAATTTATTTTCACGTTGTTTGTAACTGAAGGAAGGAGTGGAGGATGCCAAGGGTGTGGTTGGACGACTGTCAGGTCTGAGGAATGAAATGCAGACAGACAAACCTGTAGTTCCACTGACGGACACCAGGGCAGACATTAAAATATGGAACAGGTGAATATCACATTAGGCCTAGGAAAAGAAAATATTAACACTACAACACGTACAGTTGTGTTTCTGATTCCCTGTTAGACACTACCACAAACCACTTCAGCCTTATACGGGGTTGACCTTTGGCACGGTAAAATTTCTGATAAAATTTCATAACAGTATTTAACACATTTTCATTTAAAAAATGACCCATTTTTTAGAACTAAATTTGGGAACACAACATTATATTTCATGGGCCTTTCTATGTCATGATTACTAGTGCAGGTTAGTCCAGGTAACATTGAAACGGATGTCCACCTGTACCACTCGATGAACTAGGTATATACAGGTATCTGTATATATTTATCATTTTCTATGCTTCTATACATGTTTATCATCTTCTATGCAGAACTATCTTGGTAAACAAAGTTTACCTTCCCCCAAAAGTTCAAAAGTGAACCTGGTTTAGCATAGACCTGGGTGGTCCTGGGTAGGAGAGCGCTATATAGGACTATAGTGCAAATATGTGCCTGGGTGTTTGTGTGCTGTACTGGTTGTTACAGGTGTAATATGTCTCAGGTACCTTGAGGAGGTGCGTGCAGCACAGGGAAGTGATCCCAGCTGGTTCACGTCTGCGTGGCTGTATGTGGAGTGTTACATGTACCGCCGGATCCAGCAGGCATTGGAAGAAAGGTCAGTAGTACCAACAGTCACAGTCATCATGTCACACGGCAGGTAGAGCTAGGACTGCTGAAGTCATGCCAAACAAGAATTAATTAAAAGAGATTGCAAGGCTACAACTTGTCAATCTCACAAGCTTCTTTTACAGGGTTTTCCTAAACATTCATATCAATTTTTTAATGAAAAAATACACAAATTGTTATGCGAAAATGTACATATCTAATGAAAAAGTAGTTACAAACTGGATTACCAAACCAATGAATCTGATGAAAAATGAACGCCTTCATCCAAACTTTAACTGCTCCCTGGGTTGTCAAAGGTGTCTGTTTTTCAGTTCATATCAATGCAATTGTTTTCCATAAAAGTCATGCAAATGCTTAGGCATACATTTTTATATTTGAATATAAAAATGTATGCCTCAGAGATCATCATTTCACAAGATTTAAAAAAAAATCTTGTGAAATGATGATCTCTGAGGTATATTATTGTCATATATTTGTGTTCCTACATCCTCTGTCCTGTAGCACCAGACTGAGGACCTTTGACCCATTCAGAGCTCAGAAAGCGGCTGGTCTGTTGAACTCGGAGTCGCCCATCGCTAGCCTGGCCTCCTACGTACATGAAGCCACCCAGGACCCCAGCACACTTACACAACAGGACATCCATACACTGTTCAACCAGCTCATACAGGTCAGAACAGCAAGTCTTATTGTGTTCAACTTCGCAGAAGGAAATGTTTAGCTTATCAGAAGGAAAACATGTTTTTATGTGTGCTCTTTTTCTTCTTGTTCCTCTTCTTCTCCAAACAAATAAGGTCAATGACCAGGGTCAGACGTCTGTCACCGTGGTAACTGGTGTTGAGTTACAAGTGCCATGCAGAACTGAGTTCAAGAGGGGCTGCATGGTCACCATATATATAATATCATTAAGGAAGAATAAACAGAGCAGCAGTGCTGTCACTCAATTGTTTGGACACACAAGCAAACACACACACACACTCACACTCAGACAAACACAAACCAATTAAAACTTTCAATTTCATGGAGGATATAATAAAAGACTTCATCAGGTCGTAAACAAGTCTACATAACTTTTGCAAAATTAAAATAAAGCCTTTAGTCAATTTGCGGATTAGACTGTCTAAACTTCTGTTGGATCATGCCCCCAGACTCTCCTACATTCCTCATGCCTTTGCCACTCCAAACATTGAAACTTACAAAATGCATGTGGATCTTGAGTCAGGAACATACAGCTCCAAAATTATAAACTCTTATGATAACTAGAATGAATAAAGTTTTCCTGCACTAGATAAATTTTCAAAATTTAAAAGATCAAAAACCTTTTCTACAAATGACGTTGATGCAAAGTCTCTCTGTATGTAATGGCACAAAGGACTTCATACCTCACTGTTAAAGCCATTCCCAATGGGATTTCAATTATCTGAAGTTGGCTTCATCCTTTCTTCAACTTGTTTGTTTGCCCTAGCTCCGTGGAAACCCTGTGTGCCTTATAAGGAATTTGAGAAGTCCCTGCTAGCATGTGGAGTCTCTTTTCAAGTCTTTCCGCAGGGCTTCTATTGTTGATGTGACATCTGAAGGAGTCAGGGACAACTGCCGGGAGAAAACATAGCAGGTGATTCGTCACTGGGCCAAGGGTGGTCAGGGCAATTCATGCGATCAAAATCAACAAAAAGTTTAGCCTGAGTGCAGGCCATTGTCAACATCAAAAATCAATCATGCACTGTTCCTTCAACAAAGTCACCATCTTGAGAATGGTAATAGAAATAGAAATCTAAAAGGTCACTCAAAAAATGTTCAAAAGGGTCAAGAGATGGTGTAAAGAGTCACAAGATTTGTTCTTTTCTGCAACTGACCCCTAATACATAATGACTGTACAATGTCATGTATCCTCATCCACCAACAACCAAGAACAGTCTAATTATGTCCCAAAGGTATTATGTAAGTTTAATTTTTTTTAAATAAAAGAAAATTGAGCTGGCAAATCAGAGAACCTGTCCAGGTAATCAAATTGGTGTTGCCCTGTACTGGAAATATCATGATGAGACCTGTTACCAGACTGTCTCAAATTAGCTGGGCTAAAAACGGATAATGTTATCCCATTGTTGTCACTAATTACTGGTAGATCTGATTTTTCTGGTGATGATTAACTAATTAGCCAAAAGCTTGGCTAACTTGACTGGACAAGATAAAAGGTCTAATGGATGAAAAGGATTTCTAATTTTGACAACCAGGCAGTCAAATCTCAAAGATATGGGAATTAAAGTGGTACTGTAAGTCTTCAAACTTTCAGCGTGGTTTTATTCTTGTAGCTTTTGCAGTGACCTCCACCACCAAATTCACGATGCAGTGAATGTGCGTTTCCAATGTATCATTACTGTGAGTACTAGTAGAGAATTGTTCCAACGGCAAATTTAAAATACGTTTTTCTCCCACCGTGAAATAAATTCACTGTGAAAGTACTAGTAAGTGAACTTACTGTATCTGTCCCTATCTTTAATGAAGCTCTGATGACATCTCTTCAAACAGTATCAAATTCCCTTCACAGAAGACCTTGAGCCAAGATAAGATAGGTATGGCTAACTAGAACTGCTTTCAACATGATAATGCTGGATTGAAAAAAAGAAGTATCAATAGCAAGGAAATTTTAGTAGGTATTATGTTGTGCATGAAGCTGTTTCTTGATAAGAGCTAAATTGTATGTTTACGTGTGGTCAAGCAAATGAATATATACTGAAATTGTTGCTGTACACTGTCTGGGGTTACTCACTGTTGACAGGAATAACACCTGTTTCCCCAGTTTGCCCCAAATGTCCATCTCCTCAGATCTAACAAGTTGCCCCTAGGCCTCATGTAGTGTCTGTGTACTGTAATTCATTTATCTTTGCGGGGAATTTATTTTGTGATAGTAAGACAAAGGAGGTTTTTGCAATGTTTAAAGTTCACAGTTAAACAGTATTACAGCACATTGGAAATCACTATCCATGATGGTGTCATCAATTTCCAGTGTCGAGATCACAGCAAAAAAAAAAAAAAACTGGGAAAAAAAAACTACAAACATTTAAAGATTTCCAGTACTGAGCTGATTCAGGAACCAAACCTGAAAGAACACGTGTTCTTCATATCCGCAGTGTTGTCTGTCAGATTCCAAACCAGGACACTGGAGCCCGCCCACCTTGTCAAACAGTTTGCAAACATTGGAGTAATCTGTCCTAGATACTACGTACAAACATGTGTACAGACATGTTGGGATGTGAACATAGACAGTATTGGGTCATCTGAAGATGTGCCTGATAAAGGGTAACTTGTAGGAAGGACAGTCATGACTCGAAATGTCAGGCTCGAAATGCCACTTATATATATACAGGTAAAATTGGAGATGTGCGGGTATTATAATATTACAAGTGTATGTGGATTTTTATTTGCTACATTGATTGTTTATCACCTATGAAGTGTAAAAGAATCAGTAACAATTGTTTCTAAGCAATTTTTAGTACGATCCATAAATTCTGAGACGTGCAGGTATGTGAAACCTGTCTGGTGCAGGAAAGTTCCAGTGTTACCTGCACCCGTGTAGGTATGCAGAAAAAAGGATTTTGAGCCCTGACTCCTCAGGCTAGTGTAAGTCAGATTCTTCTGATGTATACATCTGTCATGTTTTTCTTAAATGTTACACATTAGACTTACACTGCATCTGGAGACATGAATTTCTGAAGAAGAAAACCTGTACTCACCATCATGTACTGCTGTGCAAATTATGCTCCATGCATGGTTTAGACATCAAACATGGCCTTGGGTATATAACCTTGACATATCATGTTGGGGCTTAGACCATGGGAATCGACAGTACTGAGAAGTCTTTGAATAATCTTAAATACAGACAAAACTGCCCCAGAAGACCACTCAGGGGACCAATAGAATCTGTTCTATGTAACCGATCTCTAGATCTAGAATGACTAAACTTTTCATGAGTGACACCTTTTCAAGAAGTCAACTTTATAAGAGACCAGACTTTATAAAGGAGTACTGAAGTTGGGAGGAGGTTGTAATTTTCCAATAGATAATGATTTTAGGAAATTAGAAATGCTACTATAGAATAAAGTTGTGCATTCGAAAGAAATCAGTACTGTGGAAAACTGCATGTAACACAGCAAAGGTTTTATTACCAGTATTTTTTCTGACATATAATAAGTGTAAAATATAGTACCTTTACATAACTCTACACAAGTATATAGGTGCACCAGTGTATCCACAGTCAAAAATTAGGTGCACAGCTCCAATTTTGGGTGCACCAAAGCACATATTTACCCTGTACTTCGATCCCTGCATAGTCTTTCAGCTATATCAGATTGACAGCATGTACATGATCTGTGCTGTTTTGTTTTTCCCCAGGTGAACCTATGGGGGAACAAGTGTGACCTGTCCATCTCCGGTGGATCAGAGAACTACCAGAAACATGACCCCATCCAGCAGCTAGCCAGTCTCAAGCCATTCATCATCATCAACCAAACTGACCAGGTTTGGGGCAGGATCAGCCAACCCAAGTCCTCCAAACGTGTCGACCTGGTGGTGGACAACGCTGGCTTCGAGCTCTTCTCGGATTTGGTGTTGGCAGAACTGCTGCTTGTGACAAAACTCGCTGACGTGATACACTTCCATCTGAAGGCCATGCCGTGGTTTGTGTCGGACGCCACGCGGGAGGATTTCATGTGGACTCTTGACGTCCTGAGGGCGTCAAACCACGCGGCCGTGTCGCATTACGGCAACCGGTGGCGCCAGTGGGTGGAGGACGGGACCTGGGTCCTGCACGAGCACGACTTCTGGACGTGTCCGCACGACTACAGCCAGATGGAGGCGGTTGCGCCGGACTTGTACGCCGACCTGGCCAAATCCCATCTCGTCGTCTTCAAGGGGGATCTGAACTACCGCAAGATAACCGGCGACTTGAAATGGCCACACACGGTTCCCTTCAGCCGCGCTCTGCGAGGGTTCCTGCCGTCGGCGCTGTGCACGCTGCGCACGCTCAAGGCCGACCTGATCGTGGGTTTGGAAGAGGGGCAGGCGGAACGTATCGAGAGGGAGGCAGAGGAAGCAGCTGATTGGATGGTTAGTGGCAACTGGGCTGTCGTCCAATACTGTGATCAGCTTTAATGCAGCACAGTTGTGAGGAAAGGGCTCTCCAAAATGGGACAGTACAAAATTAGATACGTATGATGTGTGTTTTACAATCAACGTTATACATGTCAAAGGGAGAAATGTTAAGGGCAACTTATTATTCATAATGACTCTGGGGAGTTTTGTATTGTTTGTAAAACATGTCACTATTATTAGTAATGATCAATGCTGAAATCAGAGGGAAACACTCTTAAAAGAAAAGGAAATTTATGGGAGGTCTAATTTTTGTTGTTCATATCCTTAAGCAGGGAAGTCATTGGGGCCCTGTGACAGAATACGCGTACACAATTGACTACAGTTGGGACACAAGTTCAGAAGCCTTTGAAGAGATTCGTACAATGTCATATAAGAGTCCAAATGATTTTTTCTATGACCAACAGTATTGTAGGGGACAGTGGACTGCCATGCAAAGATAACTGTTGCACTTTTTGATTTTATTTGCATACAAAGAAAAATCTCCCCCTCCTCCCCTTTGTGAACAAAATGATCTTGCCCTAGCCTTCTAAATAAAACATTGGCTTGCCTGAGTTAGTTTAGACGCTCCAGCCTATTTAAGGATTGGTTACGCTTTTACCAAATCCCTGTCAGAAAACCAGGAAGCAAGTAATCTTTGTTCATTTAACACTAACGCAAAGGACTCATCAGGCACAGTCTCAAGAAGGACCAAAGACGTCACAACCCATCTTTGATCTTAGAACGGCTGGGACTATCCGTACCAAGTGTTTGTTGAAGGATTTGAAATCTTAGGATAAAAAAGAACTGAACCCGTAATACTGTAAGGGCAAGTTGGATTCTGATATGATTGCTATGCTACATGGACATTGTTTGGGACATACTGAATTTGCAATTAGATTTGGATGATATCTATCATATTATATATAGTAACATCAGATATACATGTATGTTACACACAATCTAAGTTTAATAAAACTTTTCAATAATGCCTCATGCCAGGATACTTTTGGTGACTGTCTTTCCTGGCTTCTACATCATAGTTAACCAGTTTTGTCAGCTACTTTAAAGTCTATGATCATATTGATACACTATACAAGTATACTATACAAATTGTAGGAAAAGGAAGGAATTTCACCAAGTGAAATAAATGTAAAATTTTGCTATAGGAGAGGGAAGGAGGTTTTTGCAGTGTTTTTTGTTCATGGTTGAAACAATTCTGTAGTACAGTAGGTTATACAATGGAAATGCATACGCATGTAGTGCACAGTATCATGAGTGGTAAGGTCACTAAAAATGCTCAAAATATAACCACTGCAAACATTTAAAGATATACAGTAATGTACATTTATCTTCATCTATCTCCAAGCCAAAGAAAGTTGGTGTGTTTCGCCGAAGGGCAGTTATAAAACTTATACCGGCTACACAGATACAGAACACATTCAATACTTCTTGAATATTATCTCAGGCCTGCAGTAGTAAAGAAAGTTGCTAGGGGGCCAAATTGATATCACTTCTTCATGCCTGAGCACCATATATGCAGGTATGTCTGCATGTCAAGCATTAGACTGTACAGCAACACATCAGTCATGCTTTCCTGGTGCCAGACTAGTACTGTCATAGATAAGGAAGCATGGAGGTCTCCTGCATAGAGAACATAACTTTCCAGGTATTCTCATTTTCAAAGCTCTCCAAAGGAAAGCACTAAATTAATGAAAAGCCAACATCCGCTCTCCCATGAAATTACATCTGTTATTATGAAAAACTTGATATAGCTTAAGCTGTTTAATGTATGGATTCTTCCGTGTGCCAACAAAGCTGGGATGTTGTGGCTATGGGTGGTATTTTGGCTCACTGTCCCTTTTAGTATTGTAATACCATAGCACAGCATCTTATGATTTTCATCATGTTTCGGCAATGATAGAATCATACATATATATATATACATTGTATATATTTCATTTATTTATTGATATACATGTATCCAGGGCAATACACTTACTATAATTATAGGTCAATTGTGACTAGACCTTATTTCCAGATATCTGATATTCAAAGAAACTGTGAATGTTAACTTTTGGAGGGTCAAGTTTTGATCACAGGATGACCTTTTTCTTTTCTTTTTTTTCCTTCTATGCTTTATTATTGGGAAGCCCAGAACCGAGCTGGATGGAGGAAAATCGTCGGTGGCCTATGCTCCACACGGGGCCAAGGGCCCAGGTAAGGTAAGGTAATGCATTATTTCACCTGGCAACTCCGTGAAAAATTCCAAAACCAAGAAATTCAATTGGTCTGTCCATATCAAATAAATGAAAACATTGAAACAGCTGTTAATACTGTAGGTATTGAGACTGACTGAAAGTCCCAGATGTGGTGAGTTTACATACTAGTCCTGGGGGTACTGACTGAGAGGTATGCACCACAGGTGTCAGCAACTCTGCTTGGCACTTTGAATTAGAGAGAAAATCCCTCTTTAGAAGGGAATGCGTGGCAATTGCTTGCTCTGGAATCCCCAAACCTGCACAGCATGATGAAGACATTCCCAGTATGTAGATAACTGGAAGGCTTTCAATAACCTGTTTTTACACTGCCTGCACAAGGAGTATGGCTGTGTTTGACGAGATGGATATTTGTGTGTGTGTGTGTGTTCATATGTGTGTGTGTATGTGTGAGTGAGTGCATGCGCACACACACATGCGCTTAAGGGGAAGGGGCTCAGGGTTGTCCTGCATTTGTTAAACAAATGAGGCAAGTAAAATCTGCCATCTGTGGATGCCTTGTAATTGTGAAATTTTCAATAAAAATTCATGTTATGATAACATTGTTGCACATTCTGTAATTTGGCAGTAATTCTTACATTTTGCACCACTTAAGACTAAGAGAAAACGTTGGATACATTCAAAACTGCACATGTTGCTGGGTGCATTTAAAAAGCACTGTAACTGTTTAAAGCTCTGTATGTCATATTTGTATTTCAAAGTGTGCATGAGTGTTTTTAAGTGACCTCTCCAGACTATACTTTGCACATTTGACTTTTTGAGATAAGGTGAGCTATGACAAATTGTAACTTTTACTATTCCTGTGTATGGTGTTTTGTTGAATGAGCTTTGGGGAAAATATTGAATCAGATAATGTATCACTGATTGGAGACCATCAGCAGACACCAATTAATCATTACTTGATTTGCTACATCTAATTGACGTCATCTTTTATGTATACATTAATTAAGGTTAGGCCTGAGCTGTATATGTGGTGGTGAATGTAAGTTGCAGTGCCGCAGCATGTGGGGTAGAGTCAACAGAGATGTTTACATGTACCTTGATCCATCACCGGGAAGCCAACCTGTGTCACGGCAGTGTGATGCCTGTCTCCGCCAGCACGACCTGATTTATTTGCACGGGTTGTATGAAGACCACCTAGCGAAGGCTATTATAAAGGGATAGCCCTGGTGATGACTGAACGTTACAATATTGAATATACAATATACAAGCACACGACCTTGGTGCTATATATCTTTGTACGTAGATTGATTCTAGATTATACAAAGCAGCGAGTCGTTCTGTAAGCAAATGAAGGTACTTAGTAATTAGACCTGATAAAAGAGACGGCGATGAGCGATTCCGAATCAGACCGATTGAGGAAAGGCCCGCATACCATAACGCATTACCCGCGCCATAACGTCCCCGGCATTCATCAATAATTACTGATCAGTATCTGTAGTTAGGGAGAGATAACTAATTTCCGAAGCCCTCGGTTGTCTTGTCTGTATTTCAATAGTGCTTGTGAAAGTTAAACCCTCAGCGTACTTAGCGAAAGATTTATGTAGTCGGTGGCAGCGTGACCTGACATTTATCCCTATTCAAATTTATTACCTGTGGTTTTCACGCCACTTCAGTCTCAAATGTAGAAGTTCAAGGGTCGCTGGGAATATCGTTCTGAGCGGCAGCGGGAGCTGAACAAACTAGAGGTGGCATTTCAATTTTCTGGGGATACCAGGGGTCACTGTGCCCATACCAGCAGCGTGTCGGCGGCTGTCTTTTCATGCTGGCTCCCGCGGCTTTTCGTTTACGGACAAGTCAGTCACGGCACTCGCGAAAACCATCTGACGGATATGAGCGCGGACATCTGTTGCGACATACCGAATGCCAGTGAGACACAGTCCTCTCAGAAAACCGCCATGGGTTCCAAATTTGAAAAATCGCCCTTTCGGTGGAAGGTGGCCACTCTCGTGTTGTTCCTTGTGTGCGTCGCTCTGGCTGTGACGCTGATCGTGGTCTTGTGTAGCGGCGTGAGTACCGGACAGCACGACGGCCACGGCCAGCCCTGTGCGGCGGGATATATCGTGGAACCTGTCGATCCTACTCGCCCCGGTCCCTTCAGCGATCTGAGCCTTGAGGAGATCGACAGCGTGCGAAACTACATGTTGGCACAGGACAGTCTTCAGCTAACGCCCTGGGAGCACGCCGAGATCAGCGATAATTACATCTACGCTATTGAAACGCACCTCCCTGCCAAGGACGACGTGCTCCGTTTTCTCGATGGAGGAGGACCGGCGCCCGAGCGGCTTGCCAAAGTTACGGTGTACGCTGGCCAGCGGACACCACCCGTGGTAGAAGAATACATCGTCGGACCTGTTACAAATCCGTCCCGTCACACCGTCTACACCCTGAGGGGCAGGAAGTTCCCCATACCCTTCCACTCCCGTGTTCCAGATAGCAAGGAAAATAACCTTGTGGAGGGCCGGCTACGGGAGGTATCTGAAACGGCTTACAGGGTGTTGAAGGAAAGCTTCGACACTTGGTATCACAACTGCACTGATCGGTGTTTGACCTTCATAGACACGGCACCGAGGGGTTTCCGCAGCGGGCAGAGGAAGACGTGGTGGTACGCCATGCGGAACCTCCAAGGCATGACTCTGAACCCTGTCGGCTTTATGGTCGAGGTTAACACAGAAGGAGCGAACACAAGTCAGTGGCGAACCGAGAGAGTCTTCTACAACGGACAGTTATTCGATTCAGTGCACGAACTTGTATCAGACTACAACCAGGGAACCGTCGAGAAAGTGACGCTGCCTATGCCTAAAGACGACAACACGCTGTTCTCGTCTTTTCGACGCAGAGGCCCGCCACAGCCGCCGACTCCTCTGCGGGCACCTGAGCAATTCGAGCCGGACGGGCGGCGGTACAAGGTACGTGGCCGTCACGTTGAGTACATGGGCTGGAGTTTTGACTGGCGTTTGAGCACCACGCACGGGCCTCAACTGCTGGACATAAAAATGAACGGGGAGCGTGTGGTGTACGAACTTAGCTTACAAGAGATAGGTGCGTTCTACAGCGGACACGACCCTCTCATGCTCAGCACGTTTTTCCTGGACACCGGTTGGAACATGGGCTCGAGTCATTTTGAGCTCGTTCCCGGCGTAGATTGCCCCAACACTGCTTCTTATCTTGACGTCTTACATCAAAAGGACTCGGCTAGGCCCAGACAGTACAAAAACGCAGTCTGCGTATTCGAACTGAACACAGGCATTCCCCTACGTCGTCATTATGAGTCCGATTTTCAGGGTGGGTACCTCTTCTACGGCGGGATGGTCGACAATGTCCTAGTTGTACGCACCATATCGACCGTGTTCAACTACGACTACGTGTTAGACTTCATCTTTCACCAGAACGGCGTCCTGGAGGTGAGGACCAGTCTGACGGGGTACGTCATGAGCACGTTCTACACCCAGGCAGAGGCGCCGTACGGCTACAAGATGTGGCAGAGCGCGATCGGGAACGCTCACCACCACGTCATCAACCTGAAGGTGGACATGGACGTCGGCGGCATCGAAAACCGGTACGAGACCGTAGACTTCGTTCAGACGAACATAACAAATCCCCTGTACCCAGAACTGTATCATATCCACACAAAAGCGCAGCGAAACCCAAAAACAACAGAACGGGAGGCCATACTACATTATAACTTCGATCGTCCCAAATATTACAACTTTTACAATCAGGAAAAGAGCAACTCTTACGGTATCAAGAAGGGTTATCGCATCCAAATCAACGCGCCGACCAAAGAGCTCGTGCCGCGGGGGTGGGGCCCCATGCGGGGTGCCGCCTGGGCAGACTACCAGATGGCGGTCACGCGTCGCAAGGAGTCGGAGCCGGCCAGCTCCTCCCTCTACAACCAGAACGACCCGTACGATCCCGTCGTAGACTTTGACAGGTTCTTGGACGACGACGAGAACATAGTAGACCAGGACCTGGTGGCCTGGGTAACCATGGGGACGCACCACGTGCCGCACGCCGAGGACGCACCCGTCACCGCCACCGCCGGGAACCAGCTCTCCCTCTTCCTCAGACCCTTCCACTTCTTCGACGAGGACCCGTCCATGGCGTCCTCCAACGGCGTCCTCATCACGTACGATAAAGACTCCCATGAAGTGGACGTGGACAGGTTCGGTACGCCCTATGGGTCGAACTGCCTGCCAAGAGAAGCTGTATTTGCGTACAACGGAACGTGGCCGGAAACAGAGGACTGAGCTGGACGGAACGGTGCAGGCACAAGGTACCACACCTCTGTATAGGCATTATCAGAACTGTGAGGCATGTAATGTGTTTTATATTGTAAAACTTGTAAACGTTTTGTGTAATTCACAGCCAGTTGTACAAAGCTGCCCTGTAACCGTGTCGATAATGTAGGAAACCTAGCCTAGAGGGAACAAACTGCATGTCTGTGGTCTTGTATCTTGTATGTAACAGTATCTTGCCCATGATATGCAAATGTGTGAATGGTCACTCAAAGCCAGGTACCGCCATGTTAGTCAAGAACATGTAGAGTGGTAGTGACCTCACAACGTGAATCTTTGCATTTGTATGTGCTCTCGTTATCGAGAAACTTTCTTACAAGGTTACTTGGATCCAAGCCCAGACGGTATGAACATGTGGGTATTTTGAAATAGTTTGTAAAAGTTTGCTTGAGGAGAGGCGTGTGTAACGTTAGTGTTGTACTTTTTAAACCAAGATGATCATAAAATTCGGTTCGCCACTACCCTTCCTTCATTGTCCCGTACAGTGATTATTGTTATAGACACATGGGGTCCTGTCGCCAGAGATAAAGTCATGTTTTAATATACAAAGAACTGAACAGAAGAAATTTATCAATGTGTTTTGTGTTTTTCTTCTTCTTCTTTCTTGGTATAAACCGCTTGGTGTAAACCACGGGTACCACGGGTGCAACGGGTACCACGGGTGCAACGGGTACCACAGGTACCACAGGTTCCACAGGTACCACAGGTTCCACAGGTACTACAGGTTCCACAGCTGCAGGTACCACAGGTACGAGGGGCGTTCAATACGTTTTATAAGCCTCGTCTAGATACATGTACAAGGGTACAACTCTAATTTCAGGGCACAATTGTGAAGGATGAAGCCTTTTTTTAATGTCCATCAAAACGGTGAAATCATTCTGGGAACGCCCCTTTAAAAAACAGTGCCGTTAGGTAACGTAAAAGAGCGGGTATGTTGTCTCAACACGGCCGATTGCTCTGATTTCCTTGCCATAAACCCGGCTTAATTATTTTACTGCCTATAACGTGAAGTTGACTTGATTTGTTTAGTACCTATAGAATATTACAACTCAACAAACTCGACTGACACGCCCCCGAGAGGGTACCAAGTATATGTATCAAATGTGCATGATGTCAGTGAGCATACGGCAAAGGGATTGGACGCGCGCGCACACAGACAGACACAGACACACACACAGACACACAGACACACACACACACACACACACACACACACACACACACACACACACACACACACACACACACAGACACGCACACACACGCACACAGACTCAACGCGTGTACTGAGGTTACGTGGTAGTTTCCAGGTAAGAATTGGTATTCGAATCGTGAGATGCTAAGGTACGCAATACATCCCCTAAAAGGTCAGTAGCGAATGGTCAAATTTATCACTTATAAGCGGGGATGCGTAGGTACTGGAAAATCTATGATATATGCCACAGGCGTCCGAATTTCTTCACGTGGCGGGCAACCCGCGAACCATGTTTATATCGTAATTGGAGCGCCAGCGCTGAATTATGCATGTACCGATCAAAGTTGATACAGTAGCTCTGTATTTTCTTGTTATCTACTATCAAAGTTTACATGGCTATATATAAAGCTAGATTGATTTTAAAGCTCCTTGGCTGTATTTCTCACATCTAAAACTTGCAGCGACCACATCAAACAGGCTGCACCTGACTGAAACTACGTGCTCCTGGACCAGTGACAAGGTACTCCAGCTACTTACCTCCATCCAGCATCACAAACGAGGAGTGATCCTCCTAAAGCGCCACCCAGAGACAGGTGGAAGTGCTGCAGTCACGGGCTCCATACAACGTACACAATAATATTCACCAAGTTGCACTTGGTCGTGGTCCTCTCAAAGCGCCGCACAGTTACAGGTATAAGTACTGCAGCCACTGGCTTCTATTCACCGCACACATTCAACAGCAAGAGTCTACTCCAGGCATTTTAGTGTGGGCCTGCTAGGGGTCTTTTACCGGCCAGATGATGTTAACCATCCCGACTGATCAAATTATACATTTTCTCATTGATTATTAAAATAAGATCCTCATTTCATTGCCATCATGAAACAGTTAATCATATTCTCCACCCACTGACATCCTTATCTTAAAATTCTAGCACTTCCTCATCAATTATGCAAATGAGGTTATGATTTAGATAAATCATGTTTATTGATGTTCACTCTCAGGTAACTTCCAAATGTGGCAAGTATAAAATTCCCGGCAGTTACCACTAAAAGTAAAGCAATTTTCCATTCATTATGCAACTTAGGTCTTCATTTACATAATCTATATCTTCAGATGTTCTCTGGTTCTCAATGGACCCAATCTCGTTCTAACGACTGAGGTTCCCATTAAAGCTGGCAACTCGACAAAAGTACGAGGGTACTAATGCACCGACAAGACCCTGTAAGTATCCGTCCTGCCGCTGACGTGCTCTTCACATACCGCATCAACAACCCTCATCCCGGCGCTCCAGCTAACTCATGACGTATATGTGACGTGTCAGGGCGAGGACGGTGTCTAAAGAGAACCTTTCATACCTCCGTGAAGCACTTAAAGTTTTTGTGAATTTCTCATTTTAATCATTATTTTGAATTTTCTTGTTTATGTCTAAGCATTTTAAATTTCCATACAGGCACTCAGCCAACCTCTTGATGGTGCCAGAGACCTAACGTCTTGTACATGTATATCTGATCTTTTGGGGGTCTGTGGTTAGGGAATCCCCCCCACCCAGGTGCTGTCAATCAATTGCAGTTTTACGAACGCACAAGCAAAGACACGCGTACACCAACAAACCCAAAACAATACCTCCGTACATAGGTAATAAAGCATCCAACCAACCAACCAACCAACCAACCAACCAACCAACCAACCAACCAACCAACCAACCAACCAACCAACCAACAAACAAACAAACAAACAAACAAACAAACAAACAAACAAACAAACAAACAAACAACCAGTAAACGGACCGTCGGACCGACCGCCGGACTGACCAAACACATAACGAACCCAAAATAACAAACCAAATAGAACCAAAAACTGACTCCTCGCGTCCTTTCAAACGTCACCAACAAACCTCTTTTCCAAAGGCGGTAACGCAAGACACGTTTTGCTAAATGCTTCCATTCATATGCATGCATGCATGCATGAGAAATAATACAATAAAAAATTGTACCAGTCCGTTCAGTTTATTGTCGGTTATCAGAGAGACATAAATGTCACAAAGTGCTCATGTTATCTGCACATACTGTATTGCAACGGTGATGAGTCGGTTCGAAACAGGTGACAACTGATCAATTTTGCACGCTCAACGGAACCGATGAAACTTTCATTCATATGGCGCCATTTTAACAAAATGTCCTCACAGTTTCACCCAGTCCAATCAAACTCTACGATACTCAGATTCGAAACAACCTTGATTAGACAAATTCCTTTCTATCTATTTTACTTCAGCGGGCAACATCTGACCAGGGAGGTTTAAATAATACTCAAATCAAATAGTATTTAACCACTTGATCTGACAAAACAAACGCGCTTTTTTCAAGGTTGCTTTTAGAGTGAAAATTGTGACAGTTCGGAAATAAAATGACCCGTACAGCTAGCCGACCATGGCGGATGTGAACACAAGTGACGGTCCGTACGCGTCGCGTGGATTTTGATGTTTACTTTCGAACTGCCACACCCCCTCCTACATGGAATTGGTGGGCTCACTTTGCCAGATATTTTAGGTTCTGTGAACCAGGGTCCATGGGTGAACTAGGAAGCAATTTGTCGGGTTATGCTGATTCGCGAATTTCTGTAATTCACTTTATGTTCACGGTAGCAAAATTTCACAGTCTTAGATGGACATGTTCACGGAACTATATATTTACGGTGGCGACAGGTGCAGGAAAAAGGAAGTCCAGGAATTATTTGTTTACTTTAATGATAAGTTCACGGTACAGAAGTGACAGTGAAAACAGTGAACATAACAGTACAGTGAAAAAATCAGGAATTACAGTATGAGTTTAGAGGTTGATTGGACGGGGTGAGGTTGTTATCGACGTCATTTACGTACGTGTAAATCCTGTTTTAGATGGAAGCTCGCGAAGTTCATACAGGAAATGTACATTCACCTTGTGGTAAAATACAGCTGGGTATGTCATTTCGTTGTTGTTTTCTTATAATCACAACTACCTAACCACAGGCGGATTTCTCCCCTGCTGTGTTTACAGTACACTATGGATGGCGTGTCTCTACATCCAGAGAACAATTGCAGCTCGCGCAACAAAAAGGCTCACATATGTAGAAAAAAAATTGGAAGCCATCGACATGAATATTTTATGGTTTTTACATCGGGTAACACGAGAGGATGTATTTTGAACAGCGGGTACTGTAAAATGAGCCGATGCTCTTCTATTGTTCTCTAGTACACCTGTCATCTATCGGCTCTGGACAGCCAACATTAAGCCATCAAGAGAGATCAATAATGCCATTCATGTTACTGGAAGTTCAGTACATTTTATAAACAAAATAAAAAGAGTGTAACATACCTTTCTCGTAATATAGACATGTAACAAATACAAGAGATCGGCATTTGGGACAAAAGATTAATTTCTTTGTCAAGTCTTGTGTCTTATTGTATTGGAAACAAATTGCTAAATTGTGTTAATGATAAGGCTACCCATCTGGTTATAAATAGCTTTCAATCCAACCTAGCACCCTCCGACTATCCTTATCCGCAGCCCTACCGCTTCCCGTACTGCTCACTCCGCTGTCCCCGTCCGATCCTTGCTTTACAGACTCGCCGTTAAGCTCACAAATTTCCACCTTCACTGCTGACAAACTCCTGGTGTCCTCATCATGGTTTCCCGGTTTGGCAGACATTTCGGTCATTTCCGATACTGGCTCCATGCCCAGGTTGTCCACTCCCTGGATCGTCTCTTCACCCAACTCCTCGATACTGCGGCCGGAGTTCGCGCTGGAATTTCTCCAAAATCGCACAGTACTCCCGTCTGAATGTAGCCGCGATACCGGCCCTTTCCGCGACGGTTTTCGCTTCCTGGAGCCGTTCAGCATTTTCTCCGGGTCGATGTTGACGCTGAGAGCCGCGTCCAGCGCCTGGTTTTCAGACGGGTCTTTCTGTAAACAAAACGTCAGTGCCAGCGACACGATGACGAGTACCGTAAAACCGCTGACGATTCCGCCGGTGACCAGCACGACCAGCTTGTACTCCGTGATGTCCTGATCGGCCGGGAGGGCAGGAGGCGAGCTGGTGAAGTTGACAGGGGTGGCCGTGACATTCTCCGCTAAGGTGGAGGAAGGAAAGAACGGGGTTTCGAAAACGACCGATGGTGACAGAGTTACTGCGCCATTAGAGGAGCCCGCCGTGCTTCTGTCGATCGTTGGTGAATAGGCATCCGTTACATTTGCAACCTCTGTGGTCAGGTTGGTGAACATTGTCGCTCTGACATGCACTTTCCGGACAGAGCTGGAGAGTCTCCCGGGGTCATGATGCGTCAGAAAACAATACAAGATGCTCCCCAGTTCATGAAGGCTGCTCACATGACATCTAAAGGGACGACAACAGTCAGAAACGATTAGATATCAGATCTGGACCTCTGCGATCACCCCGCGTACAGCATGCATGAGCGCGCAGTGACTTTGAGGGCCATCCACCTGCAGCATCATACGCCTGTATCTTCACTTAGCAGCACTTAGGGCGTAGAGTTGTTCATCATCTTGTTACTCCAATCAGGAAGCTCGGCGTGCTCAATAACCTGCGGCATTGGTGGATGATCCCTGGAGGTCTGTATCCCGGGTGTTGGTTATTGCATAATTGGGTCAAGCGGCAAGTCTCCGGGCACATGGCGTGCGATCCTTCAGGAGACGACCGCACAAGTCGATCCACCGGTTCAAACGATGTATCAACAACGACACCCGGGAGAGCGGGCCGACGCCGCCCCTAACAGGTGTTTCCCCGGGCCGCCAACCTAAAATCAATTGTCCAATTAGTTATTCTGAAGAGTGCTGGGCGCGTAACGATAAAATATTCATGGCTTCCTCTACAGCCTGGAGTAAAATACACGGAATCAACATGACAGGGCAACAATAGAGATCTGACAGCCAGATACAGAATAGGTTTGTAGATCATCTCTGATCAAAACTCAAAAGAAAAAAATACTTTCTTGTAAATGTGTGGCTTTTTAAGCAGAAAGTAATTGTTATCATCCTGTAGTTTAACAACGTTAACGTGCCAACACATGCAGGTTTATAGATTCCAGAATGATGAGGATGGCCAACAGTTCGTTGTCATGGTATACGTTTCCGTACAGAGTACATGTCTCTAACTTTATTCCAAAATACTACGGACATGGCCAACAAAGCCTCACTTAGTCCCTCTTTGTGCGGAAAAAACAAGAAGCTGTAAAAAGCTATATATGGAGGATCTTATAAGTCTAGATGAAGGCAAATAAAGAATTTCCATTGTTCAATAGATTTGTTAACTTAAATCTTGTGTAACACATACTGTTCAGGGCTAAATGTCGCTCAAACCCAACGTTAACAGCTTTTGTTGCCTCTATCTGGTGTAAATATCTTCCGTACCATCTGCCCTTTTCGTGCCAGCGAGTATGGAGAACAATTTCCCGTAATACATGTATATAATCCTTTGTCTGGTTAAGGTACATGACGGGGCCTTTGTTTGGCCTTGATACTTCAATGTTGACAAGAAGAGAAGGGACATTGTGATTCCTCTCAAACACCTTTCGCGATCATAAACCCGGCAAAATAAAGGGTTTATTTCCCATGATATATCTGCCTATCGCACTTAATGTCATGTAAGCACGCCCTATGCGTACGCTGGGCCACTTATTCAGTACTCACTTCCACTCGAGCTTAATAGGGCAACTATCCATCGATCTACAAGACGTGCACCTTTGCAAAAGAGGCGAGTAAGTAACGATGAAGGAGTTTTATAAGTCAGAAGTAGGCGCTCTCCATGTGGAGGTGCTTCACGTGGACACATTTTAAAAGGTGGTCGACTGTCAATAATCCTGTTGATGATGGAATAAAGAATGTTCAGAGTAACTTCTGAGTACGGCAACAACTGATGGACGATCGAGCTTCAAACCACATGGAATACGTCAGGAACAGGTGATTCTGTCTTCCAGTAGCAGGAAATTGAGGACAGGAAATAAGATAACCTTTTCTGGGACCTTTCTGTGTTACGTTGCCGACGTGCTTAGTACGGAAACACAAGCAAACACTCAGACACCCCGAAACCAAAGCCCCGTACACAGAGGTTATGAGAAAATTCGATCGGTCGCGGTGATATTGGCTAATACATTGTGTAAGCCGGTGTGTAGTGGTCACATTGTCCCACATGAATGATAAATGAGTTGAGTTCTTTATCGCAAGTTCATGCCCGAGGGCCAGTTGCAAGCAGACATAGACAATGTGTACAGGATATATTGAGAAGTGGTATAAAACTATATGCTAACATGAAGTGCTGCGATCTACTAATCTAACTTTCTATCTCTATTTAAAACTAATAAAGTACGTATACAAGAGTGGATATGTAATATCATAAACGGGTTAGGGGAACATGATAACTACTATGCTATTATACTATACTATACTATAGCCATGCTAGGTGGCACATGTGAAAATGATGCCATAGACATTCCGTTCGTTCCGTTTATAAAACCGCAAACTAAAACACAAATATTGTCCAAAATTCCTTCGGCAGAATGACACACACACAGGATAAACACTATCCGATTCGTCACTATTTGAGCAATACGCAGTGGTAACGACGAATGGTCTCATCTACCCTCGTCTAATGTTGTCATCTGTCATACTAAGGCTTCGGCAAATAAATTTTATGATTGGCATAGGTGTAGACTCCAAAGGCAATGCGAGAGTACGAAAAAAAACATGATTGGTAAAAACAAGATGCCTATTTTTTTTTAAATAGATACCGTCAACGTTGTGACAAGAATTGAAGCGACGAAAATGTTACATCCAACGACTTTATCACGGTATTCAAAACGCGTGTGGTAGCTATTAAATATATATTGCCTGGTATCACCACAACTTCACTCAACTGTACTTAAGATGTCACCAGAGAGGAACGAAATATTTGTATTGTTTCCGTTTTCAAAGTTAGGCGAAAGTCAATGCGTTTGGATCTCATCCACCAAATTTACTTGCTGTGGCCTAATGGCTGGAAAAATGTAGCCATTTACATTCTCATTTGGACTGGAGATTAGAGTCATCAGAATAACATGTGGAGCATGTAGAGCACTTTGCATTTACGTGGATAAAGCACTTAAGTCATCAAGCTGAAATGGAAGCAATCGCAAACTTGAAGGCGGCAAAAAGCAATCACAGTTGCGGAAACAGACGGAACAAGGAACAAGAAGCCATAGGCGACAATTCTCCGTGAAGTATTATATATTGCAACAAAAAGAAGTAGCCATTGGCGACAATTCTCTGTGAAGTGTGATAAATCGAACAAAGAAAAATTGTTTAAACGCGCGTCGGCTCAGTCATCTTAAGACGCAACAACCAATCAGAGATGCGAGATGCCTACACGTGACGCGGGAAGGGCGCGCGATGCCCGAAATATTTTTGCGTCAATATTCAGCGCCGTGATTCAAGAGATTAATACCCGGAAACAATTTTTTT